ATTTTGTTTTTTTTTTATATATATATATATATATATATATATATATTAAAAAAGCCCAAGTGCTACTATATTAAAACGGAAAAGATACAAATAGGTTGTATGAGTGGGCCCAAAAAAACACCCAACCCAGAAGTGCAACACACAAAATCCCAAAACAAAAAAAGGAAAAATACATATATGATAAAAAAAATTAAAATTATCAAATCGCGCAAAAAGCTAGAGACGACTCAATTTAGTCTTGCATCTACATCTAGTTCTCGGAATGGAGTCGGCTAATAAATTGGTGAGGAGCGTACCATTACCCGGAGTAACCAATGTATCATCCATTAGATTCCTGAGTTAAAGTAAGTCATCATTCTTCTTCTTCCTTCTGGATGTGTAAACCTGACATTCCTCATCCGAGGATTGACTCATCTAATCAATGGATTGGTTCAAATGTGGTCGGACATGTGTAGGTTGTTGCACCGCATGTGCCTGAGTAACATTAACATCTTGCTTGACCCGACAAGGTGGTACCGTTACATCGGTGATAGGTTATAGGGCAGGTGAAGCTCCCGCTGAACCTACATCATGAGCATTGTGTGGAGGCTGAATGGTTGACATATTACTTGCAAGGATAATGACATCTTCAGGGGTATCCTTTTGATGATAATAGTGTAAATAACTTGGATTAGATCAGGAGGGGGGAATCGCTTCCTCTAGCAGCGTACTTTGCTTCTTTGGTTTGAAATGGGGGTGTAGATAATGACATTGAGAACTGGAGTGGTCGAACATACGATAGTTTGAAGGGAAAGACTCAATCACAACCTTTTGTCAATATTCATGATGTTATGTGTCTAGCCAAATTTCCTCAGAGGCAACAAAAGTAATGTCCCTTTCAACAAGTACTCTGGCTTCAGATGAAGGGAAAAGATTAAAAGTAGGAATGTCCATTTTGAGTGGTTTACCATAGGCTGAGGCAATAGAGTAAAACATTTTTTGAGTAAAATAGTGAAATTTCAAGTCAGGGAGGCGATTCCAAACCGAAATGATTAGTGGTTTCGTCTATGGGTCAAAGTCACCGATCATTTTAAGATCTTCATTGTTCTGTCATCAACCCAGATTACTCTTCTAGCAAATAAACGCATATAATCCTTTTTATTATTAAGTTGAATAAGAACGTGTCTATCATCTAGAAGTTTAATTTTTCACTCCCAACAAGATGTATAAGCTCAAATTCCTTACAAATAAGTTCCATTTTGGAATGATCATAAAGAAATTTTCCAACCAATTCAGACGACAGGAAGAAGCAAGTTGATTGTATTCAGTTTTTGTAAAAAAGATGACAAACTTCCTATTCTTCCTTCCAGGTTTCTTGATGTCTTCCGTCAACTCAAACGAAAGAGAGAAAGAGCACGATTTAAGAGTAGCTGAGGTGTGATCACCCGCAAAGACAGCAGCATATGATTTGTTCGAAGCCATCACCAAAAGAGGGAGGCGCGGAGAAAACACAATGAAATTGCAATGCACGAAAGAGTTAAATCCAAAAGGGGATCAACTGAAATCCAAAAAGGGGTCAACTGTAATCCCATAAAATTAAATATTATAAATTATAATTAATTAGTTTTTATACAAATTGGTTTTTAGAAAAATTATTATTTTAATTTTATTTAAAAAATTAATTATTATAATAATTTTATATTCTAACGAGCTAATTTCGAGCCGAACATGAACATGAATAAGTTTTTCAAGTCAAACAAGAACACACTATTCACAAGCCATTTTGAACACGAGCCAATTTCGAATGAGCTGAACATGAGCTAAGTCTGAGCTCGCTCAGGCTAGGCTCGTTTACAGCCCTATTTTTAGTTGTGTTATTAGATAAGAAGTGAAACCCATCTATCATTTTTTGTAACAAATTGGTCTTTATTCAATGCTATTTACTAGGATCATTTAATAACAATAATTAGAATGAATTCTCATAATAATGTGATATTTGGGAGGTTACTTAGCCAATTGTACTCCTTCAAGTAGGTTGGCAACTTTAAACTCTACTACTCAAGGAGAGCAATAAATAAAAAAGTAGAAACAGAGTGGGGAAAGAAGGAAAAAATCTGTATCATTAGATATTTACAAAAACTCTGAGATAACTTAGAACTCGGCAAATATAGCTGTCAACAAGAAAGAATTCAGAGATAGAAACAAGAAGTTGGTCAAGTAGTTAGACTAAAGTTGATGTAGACTATTGCTGGTATAGCTTATGTGTAGTACACAAAGCGATGGAGTTAATGTGGCACAGTCTCTTTCCTTTAGTACTTGAGAAAACATGCAAAAAAGGTTCAGTTTTCTAAAACTACTTTTTTTTATTCCAAATTGAATATTTTAACAGCAATCAACTAAATGGAAGAATTGATCACAGCGTTATTTGACTAAAAAAGTAATTTTCTAACAGGGAACACTACTACAACAGATATAACCAAATTAAGAAACAAATTAGCAGTAAAACCAGCAGACACGTTAAAAATTACAAAAACAGATGATTGCTTTGAAATAATAGAAAATTATTTCAAAGCATAAGAACAGATAAGACATCCTTACATGCATTCTGGATCAGAATAGTTGTCCTTATCAAGAATCTTCACAACGACCTTCGTCCCATTCCATTTAGCTACCTGGTGAGTATTCTGGCAAATGATATCGAAAGCGTAATTATAAATTATCCTTTTTAAAGTAAAATTATCAGATTAAAAAAAAGGCATGTGAGAATAGTCCATACAACGAAAGGAATAAACTTTGAAAAAGATTGTAGAAAAGTCTAATACAAGGTGCAGAAGTTGACAAAATACTCAACTTGCAGTGATAAAAAAACCGGTATATATTTTGCATAACTTTTCATCAATTAGGCCTCTGCAGTCCAACTAATTTAATCAACAATGTCAAATAGCCGAGTTTGGAGGAAGTAAGATGAAGCTGCCTAATATGGAATTAAATTATTTAATCTTTGATTCTTCATAAGAATTTTATCTATCAAACATGAATTTGGATGTAGTGTAAATTGATAATTTCTAGATGCCATTGAAGAGATATATGAAATCCAAGTTGATGTGCTTATAGCCAAAATGAATATATTATTAAGCATCTCGTTGAGAAAAGCTTAAAATTGCCCAATTCTAAGAAAATTTAAGGCATTTAGATAGCAAAGAAACGTCAAATGATCAAAAGGAGCCAAGTTCAAACCATTTCAAAAGAGTGACCAAATTAGTAGAAATGACCAAATGGTCCACTTCGTAAATCTATTAACAAGACATGCTTCTCCTCATTTGGGAGAGAGAATTCCACATAGAGAATTATGTGACTCAAAAATTTCTAGAACTACGTTCATTAGCACTCTATTTTTTATAATATAAACCAAAGTAGAACATCCAACCGAACTATCCCCAACCCCACATGTGAGCCGCCAACCATGTATTGCCATTTCTATCTGGTGATTCCACCCTAGTCCCATGTCGTCTTCTTGCACTCCTCTCCTTCCAAGCATAGCCACCGATCCCACAAACCCCAACAACCCACTCCTCTCTCCCTCTCTCACAAAGCTGCTATCCTTCTTGACCGAGGTAAATCTTCAAGCTCCGCTCATCATGGTTCTTCATCTATTGCAACCACCAAATGAAAACCCTTGCCCACAATGTTGTCTTCAAGAGTGAGCCTCTTCCTCCCTCCTTTTCTTCCCTCCTCCCTTCTTCTTTACCCACAAAATAAATATGAAAATATTTTTCTATTCCAATTAATATAAGAATATATTTCTTTAACTATTAATTATTGTTTATATTAGATAGGTAAGAATTAATTGTAATTGGACGTTAGATACTACTTTTTTTGTGTGTGATAATGTTTGCAAAAGTTGTAGTTTAAGGATCCTTGTGATAGGCTTGATTCCGCAACATTACTTGTCTATAAGGTAACTCACGAAGGTCAAGTTGCCACTACATTAATTAGTTTTGATTTTCTTTTCAATGTTCAAATTATGCATTTATGCTTAGGAAAAGATCATTTATTGCTTAGGGATTTGCTTGCAGGATCTTCAAGTTGAGATCACCTGGTATAGCTTGTTGGACATCTAATAGATCAGGTGTATTGTACCATTCAAATAGAGATACGTAATTATTATTCATTCAAGGATGAATGTACCCACATATAGTAGGAGTGTGGCCCTTGATGTTTCGTAATTGATTCCTTGATATTTATATGTTGTTAGTCCTATCTTCGATATTTAACTATTTGGTATATATATGTCAGAATCTATTTTAATTTTCATATAGAAATAATTAGTTAAATATCTATGTTTGCCTTTTTATAAATAGATATCAAATCGATGCAATAAATAATAAAGTAAACAAAAAAGAACACAGATTTTACGTGGAAATTAAAGTTGGGAAAAGCCACGAGCAGAGAGAGAATTCACTGTATCAAATATGAAATTATAGGTGAAGAGTTTCCGGCAATATAAATTCAAGGAAAAGAAAAGTGAGTACCTTATACAAAAATAAAACTGACATTTACAGTTTTTAGCAATACACCTTTAAAAAAAAATTTAAAAAAAAACAAAGCACTATATCAAATATGAAATTACAAGTTAAGAGCTTCGAGTAATATAAAATCACAGCAAAGAAAAGTAAGTATCTTGTATAAAAGCAAAAGGGGGTATTTATAATTTTTAGCAATACCCTTTAAAAGGAAATAATTAAAAAGGAGCGAATAAAACAATAACGGGTGGACTGCAATCTAAAAGCTATGATAAAATTGATCAAACGGTCAAAGCTTTCAATCCGTGTGCTAACAATTCCTTCTAAAGCCTCAATCCACGTGCACATAATTTTCTTCTAAAGCTTCATTATGTGTGCACATAATTTTCTTATGACAAATTATGCGGAATCCACAAAATTTGGGTTACAAATTTAGCAATCTCCACCTTTACACAAATTTCCAACTATACAAAATAGATTTTTCTCTACCTCTTCCTATAATGATCAGGAATGAATAACGATCAAGTTTCAGCAATGTTCAACCTTAGCTATTGAGAGTGACTAAATCATAATATCCACAGAATTTTATCATGGGTAATAATTTGCCCACAATAATAGCATAAGCAATAACTTTATGAACGAAGTGGTAACGAATATCAATATGCTTGGTTCTCCCATGAAACATTGAATCTTTATTGAGGTAAATAACACATTGACTATCACACATTAATGTGGTGGTCTTCAAATCTTCACAAAGTTCTTCAAAAAGACACTTCAACCAGAGAAATTCTTTGCAAGCCTCAGTAATTGTCATATAAACAACTTCAATTATAGATAGTATCATTGTTGTCTGCAAAGTAGCCTTCCAACTTAACTCTTCTATTTTCCAAACACAAAGTGTTTACAGAAGTTCATTATAGCAATATTCTAACCATTCAAAAGACATCTTCTGCTTAGTTCAGTCATCCCATTCTCAGCCATGTGCCTAAAACGCATATGCCAAAGTTTAGTTGCTTTATCATCTTACATGAAAGAAGTAGTAATTGACCATCATCTATCACTGTAGAGTCTTGCAAAACATATAGTTTAGCAGCTTTCTTGAGTCCTTTCATGCAGACCTTTAAAGCTCCAATTTCTCCCGAGTACTTGTACCCTTTAGCATTAAGAATACTTACAAAAATTAGATTCTTTTTAAGATCCAGGACATGTCTCACATCTCTAAATGTTTTTATGATCCATTAAACATTTTGATTCTAAAAGTTTGAATACCAATCGATAATCTTACATTGAATATTATTGTCCATTAACACGGTACCCTTCGACAAAATTTCATATGTTAAAAATTGATTCCTATTAGAGCACATGGAATATGCAGGTTGAATTAAGAACCCAATCATCCTAAGATTCACTATGAGAAACAACTAGGAGCTCACCATTACTAGCAACTTTTTTAACAATAGGGCTTCACCAGAATGATCAAATTGTTTGCCCTTTTGATTTGAAATTATTTTTTTATTTTTATTCTACAGCTCATAGCGTTCAATTTTGATGTGTCCATTTTTTTAAAATAATTACAGATCTTATTCTTATTTCTGGATTTTGATCTACTTTATCTATTAGCATCAGAACTCTTCTCTTGAGTTCTACCTCAAATGGCAAGACCTTATCCATGAGCAATAGGTTTATCCACAAGCTGTTTTATTTTCTCTTTTGAAAATAGAGCATCATATACTTCATCTATAGTAAGTGTCTCTCGTCATGCAAAATGATATTTTTAAACATTGCATATGATGACTGTAACGAGCACAATAACTTTAATGTCAAATCTTCTTCATCATATTTAATTTCCATAGCTTCCAAACCAAAAAATATTTTCTTAATAAAGTTAAGTGATCTATAAAAAATACACTTGTCATCCTGTGAGAGTACAAACATTGCTTCAAATGCAACTTATTGGTTAGACTTTTTGTCATGCACAATTGCTCTGATTTGATCTACAACATAATAATGTTCTTCTCCTTCAAAATATCTTGTAGAATCTAACTTGGTAGATGAAGATGAATTTTAGAAAGGGTCTTTCGATCTTTAGTTTCTTCTCCCCCAATTCCACGATGGAGACATTTAAAAGAGGGATGTCGTGCTTCATTATTATCATTGTCGGGATTAAAATATGACTTCAATATCATTTATTATAAATAGATATTGAATCGATGTAACAAATAATGAAATAAATAAAAGAAAAAGCACAGATTTTACGATAAAAATCCAAGATGGAAAAAATCACGGGCAGAGGATCAGAATTCACTATATCAAATATGAAATTACAGGTGCAGAACTTTGGAAAACATAAAATCAAAGGAAAGAAAAGTTAGTATCTTGTATAAAAATAAAATGGGGTATTTATAATCTTTAATAATAACCCTTTAAAGAAAATAATTAAAAAGATTCAATAAAGCACTAACGCACAGATAACAATTTAAAGGCTATTATAAGATTGATCAAACAGGCAAAGCCTTCAATCTAATGGCTCAGAGTTTTATTCTAAAGCCTCAATCCACATGTTTATAGCTTCCTCCTAAAGTTCAATCCATGTGCTCATAATTTTCTTATGAGATGATAATCGACACCCACAAAAAAATAGGTCACAAATTTAGTAGCCTTAATTTATTACTATATAATTCTTTTATATTAGATTAAAATCTGTAGTGGAAAAATCTTTTTTTCATGCATGATATTTGTTGAATGTAAGAAAATTATTCATGCAACTCATTATCTGTTTAGCACTTGTCAGGTTATTTATAAAATACTCGTTGAAATTTTATTTATAATATATTAATATCAAATGCCAATGAGCAACGATGTGTAGGTTGGTAGAATTTTTTTGAATATTGGCGAGCAGTTGATGGGCCCATAGAGTGACTACTAAAAATTATTAAATTTTCATATATTTATGTTTAGTTATTTGGTGATTTATTGAAAAAATTACTATAGATATCTATATAATAAAATGTTAAATGATTGATGAGACACACTTTAAGATGTATAATAATGCTTCATATGGATGCACGTGAAGATGTTAAAATAAAAATACATTAATTGCAATTAGTCAATAAATGATCATGAACGTCACAATTTTGAAAACCATATTAAAATAGTGACAATTTTCATTTCTTTAATGTGATAGGTTAATGATATTTATTATTTGCTAATTTATGGCAAATTGTGTATTTTTATTAGTCATCCTACATGCGACAGTGTCTTGCATTTATTATTTATTAGAAAGAAGTTACACGTTGAGTTTGAGTTGGCATATTCACTCGTAAATTATCATAACTAGTTCTATCATATTGCTTAGTGGATCATCACCACAGAAGCAAACTTTTCAAAAGTAACCTTTCATTCGATTTTTTTTGAGTTTGCATTATAGTAGCTTTATTCGTAATTTTATAGGATTTTAATAGTTTTGCTTCTACATTGGTTGCTCTTACTCACTTTTTTATTATTCATTCCGGTGTTTCTTCATTGTATCAATATTATAAACTCTATTAATGACATAAAATATGTTTTGCTTATTTTGACTATTTATAACTACTTGCATATCCATTTTCTCTTGTGAGTACAAAACACTTTTAACTTGATCTTAGCTTTTAAACTTGTTTTATATACAGAATCCATCCCTTTGGTGCATCCCACATTGTCAATGCATACCAACTTCTGAATCCAAGATGTGGTAGAACATCATTCATTAACTAATATTGATGCTCACAACCACCATAACAAATGCTGGCCATTGACTAATGCCAACTTCCATCGTCGCCAGCTTCTAAAGTTGATTGAAAATTAACATTTGAAAATAATCTTTCCAGCTTTCTTTTCACCTCTCCAATAAGGAGAATCACTGAGCCAAAATACCCAATATCATCTAGCCTCTAGCATTTCTCATCAATGGTCATTCCAAAAATACCAAGAACAAACATCTAATATCCCTAGTCACTATATGGCATCTAATTTCTTCAACCACATATAACCTCAAAAGCTATTTTACAAGTATCAACCTTATTGCTTTCAAACGCAGGTATCAAGCACCAGTGATGAAATTCAGTTGCATCATTTTCGGATATATCAAAATAATCATTGCAAATTTATTAGTTTAATCTTTGAACATAGAAAATGATAGTTTGATAATAGAACTTCGAAGCTCTAGAGCTTCGCACATTTCTTCAGCTAAATGAAACCGCACCTCTGGTTATTAATAAAGCTTTCCAAAATTATTCCTTTGCACTTAAGATATTGTCTTGGTTTTCACCGGTGAGATAGTTTGACCATAGAATAATGGGAAGAATAAATTAGAAACAAAAGATTTGAACATGTTCTTATTAACATCCAAGGGGCTAGTATATTATGTCCTTAGGAAGAGAAAGAAATGTTACCTCTGCTTAGTCTAAGCAAGGGCAGACAAAACTTTAATTCAGGATTAGCAATTGCTCACCGTGAATTTTATTTATTTATTCTTAATGTTGGAATGTTTTCTTTTTTAATTACGTCTCCCCTCCATAAGGTTACTTATCCGAAACTAAGAAAATTTTTTGAAAAATAAATGTTTGAATTGATTCCCAACAAAAGTACTATGTTAAAAGTACAAATATCTTTAAAATTTTGTAATCATTATTTATATCATTGATCATAATGAAATATGAGATTTTATTTAGCATTGTGTATCATCCATTTTATACGTTTATTTTATTTATTTATGAAATAAGTTTGTCCATCCTCAAAAAATAGGTTACTTCTGCTCCAAAATCTATTTTAGTCTCTTATGCTCACCAAAGGTTGCATGGAAAACAAATAAATCATATTGTGAAAAAAAAACTAAATTTTCACTAAGAAATTTATTCGGTCAATAAAATTTAGTTATTTTACTTGTTTCAAACATCAAATTTTTTATTTGCTTTCAATATACATAGTAGTGATAAGATTAGTAGACCCACAATCTGAATAAAGGCATTAAGAAAATTCAACAAATTCTATATGTGTGTGTGTGTCTGTGTGTGTGTGTGTGCCCGCGCGTGGGTGTGTTGTTGATCAGAGAATTGGCATGGAATATGAGCATAACTATCTAACTAATCATAAGAACATGCCTTAAATATGTCTTCTCCTCGACGAAACTGAAGTTCTGTGGGATTGACCTCATAATCCGGCACATCTTTGGGATTTGAAACGGCCATGGGGGTCTTTCTGGTTTTCTAAAAAAACAAAATAGCAAAAGCATTGGACAAGTTCTTCAATTAATGAATAAGCTCCTCCAATTTCACAGATTAAAAAACAATTATTTATATTACAGGAAGTTTGGCTCCTCGAGCTTTCAGTAAATTATAGACTTCAACGTTGCCGTAGAATTTAGCATCAGCAGCAGCCTGCAACTCAAACACAACATTAACACCCAAAAAACAAGATTTGAATACAAAAAAAACTTCCTTCCAGCTAAAAATCAAAACACAAAAAGGTTATTGGGAATATCCTAGCAAATCAAGTAAAAGTAATTTTGATTGAGAGAAAAACTCTCTTAATTTCGTTGCTTGAATAAATGCCTTGCAACCATCGACAGATTACAATTCTAGTGAAGAAACGTGGCATACTTTATCTGCCAAATTATTTGATTTGCCTTCAATCCTATTTGCAATTTTCCCTTAGTATATCAATTAATTGCTGATATATCTCTAGTTGGATTAGACTGAAATAGGAAACCCTAGGAATGCAGGAGAAAGAAGTTCAATCTACCGTGCTTCCCCATCGATCCCTGGCCTCAATGTTGGCCTTCCAGTTCAGCAACAGCTTGACCACCTCAACATGCCCCTCCGAAGCAGCTATATGAAGAGCAGTCCTTCCATCCAGGTCAATACTATTCACATCAATACCCTCCTTCATCAACTCAGCCACCCCCTTCGCATCACCTTGACAAGCCAGGAAAAGGAGCTGCATGGTGGAATCCAAATTTTCCGGCACAGCCAACTCATCCCAGATTGGACTCCTGCGATTGGGGTCAAGCGATGATTGCCGGCCAAAAACAAACCTGCTTGCATTGCTAAGCCTGGGGTCGAATGATGTCTGCCTCTTAAAACTGAAAATCCCATTCTTCTTAAGAGAACCAGTGGAGAATTGCCGAGATAAACCCCGTTTTAGCTGGGAGACCACTTCCATTCCGTTGACCCAATGCAAAACTTTCAGCAATTGAACAATAATCAACGAAACTCGATCATATGAGGCGTCTCAGAAGCGTCGAAGGGCATGAATGGTCGCATCCTACCGGCAATAGGACCAAATTATTCGAGGCGCTGAAAGACAAATAAATAAACACGTCTTGAGAATTGAAAATGAAAATGGATAATTAGCTTTAATTCTGCATGTTTAAGAAAGCCGGTTGTTTGGAAGAATCGTAACGAGCCTGGCTTTCTAGGTTTAGTAGATACAGTAAAAAATGTTATTTATCCCTAGACAGATGAAGAACCAGAGATGAAGATCTAAAAGCGCTGGAGATTTCAGATTTGAGATCAGAATTACAACCATTCGTAGCTTCTTTTGCCAGACAAAAGCAACGACTGTGAGACAGAGAGAGGGGTTGAGGGAGAAGAAGGGATGGAATGGAGAAATCCTACAGCTTTTGGGCCTTGTCTTCCGGGGACGACAATGGCGACAATTTGCTAATTTTCGTGCATCATTATTGTTGAATATGTGCGCTAGTGGCGAGAAAAGATTAGCAGTTGACGGTTGTGTTGTTTAAAAAATATTACATCAGAAAGGTTAAGAATTTAAAATGAAGTACGTTCTCCTGCCGACAGAAAGAAGGCCGTGCAGGGCAACGATGAAATTGTTTTTTTGGAACTTTTTTAATCTGAAAACTACGGCCAGCGCACGGGTGTGCGTGTGTGTGTGCGCATGTGTATGTGCGTGTGAATTGAAATATGTTCTTTGGATCACACTTAAGAAATAGAGTAAATAGACGCATAAAGAAAAAATAAAATGCACACTAACATACATTTTGATAGAGTAAATTCAGTTATTGGAGAAATGATTCTCTTTCAAGGATATATATTGTAAAATTATATGTTAGTTCCTATTTTAATAGGGGCAATAAAAATTAGTATGACACATTTTCTAATTTGTAACTGACTTTAGCATTCTTTTATATGCATAATAGATATTAGCATCATTTCTTATTTATAACTGTTAGAAGAGTGGAATCTAATGACCCAGTGATAATGTCATTCGGTCGATTGATAGTCTTTGGTCGACCGACTGACATTCGGTAGCTGAAAGGTAGTTAATCGGCCCTCTCATTGGAATCTAAAGGAGATGATGTTTTATTGTTAGGGTGAATCGCCGCGCAGAGGGTGTATCATAGTAGTTTGACGAATAGCTCTTCTTTGACAATTGGCCTTCTCAAAGGATCAAAAAGACGTCTGTGAGGTGCCCATTGGCCATCTTTGTAAAGAGTTTTGGAATCGGCTGAGGGAGCTGGTCTTGAATAACTGTCTCTCGGATTGAGTGTCTTTTATTTCTTGATTTGATTGTGCTTCTATTCGGTCCGCTTAGAGTTTTGACCGGCAAAAATGTCGCTTGGTGTTTCCGTCTTTTGATCACCTCGATACATTGTTCTTTAGCGTTCATAAGCGAGGCCTATTATATCTTCTCAAGATTTGTGCAGACATGTTTTTATATACATCTTTAGTTCCTTATTTTTCCTATTTCTTGAAAGTGATATTTGTAATAAAAATAAGTGAATTAAATGTGAAAATTGACTTATTTGTTGCATAATAAGTACTTTAATAATTAAACTTTTTGAATTTGAGCCCACAATTCCTACAAACGTGGTTCGATAAGCACGTCATCATTACTTTTTTCTCAGTTTCCTACACTTTAGGTGGTTGTTAACAAGATGGATACTTATGGCGAGTAGCAAAAAGGTTTATATTGAGATTTTGACTGGAAATGAGAAGGCCATGATGAAAGCCTTAGGGATTTCGACTGGAAAATTGTGCCCTCTCAATAACACTGGAGAAATAAGGACACCTGAGAGTAGCTGATACGTGGTAAAGAAGAAAACAAGGGATGAGGGCCGTTCTATAACAACAAAGCAGCCAGAGAGAGATGGTCGATCGATAATAGGAAGGAGGTAGTAGAGAGAAGTTTGACATGTCATCGTAAAAAAATCAGAAGGAGGAAGCTGACGAGAGGAAGAGAAGCAATTCAAACATGTGGCCCATAAGAAACAAAGGGTGAAAGGACTGAAGGAAGCGAGTTACCTGACACAATGTCACCCCATCGTGAGATGCGAAGCAAGGTAGACGTGGTCCATAACTAATGCGACGGTCCTTGCCCCTGCACCGATCTGTGAAAAACTAGCTCAAACTTTTGATTATTCTTGCATATGAGATCATGCAGATCATTAACTCCCGGGCTCTAGAGGCGGAAAATGGTCCATTAGCTCCAACCCACAACAAAGGCACATCCAGTTGTATATCTGGTCTTGAGGATGTCGAGAGGGAGAATAAAGGTCGGTGAAGATCACCAGTGTCACTAGCTTGCTAAATGGATGAAATGGTAGACTCCATTGCTAGGAAGTTGGCTTGTAGAGGGAGGTTTCCATAACAGACATGAAGGAAGAACTGGCAACTCTTCAAGAGGAATATAAAGAGGTTTCCATAGTAGATTGAGAAGATTTCTTCGCTTTCTCAGAAAAAAATCTAAAGAAAAGAAGGGTTTCACTTCCCATGTATGGAGGGAGGAAGCCAAGTAAGCGGATGGTCAGGAGGTCAAGGTTCTCCCAGGTTTAGAACTGGTTCACTCTGTTTCTGAAACAAAAGTTGTCATTTAAAATATTATCATCGGGAATTAATCTTGATCAAATGAAAAACATCTTTAATGAACATAGGGACTTTGAGGGAGCACTTATAAGAGGAGGAGCAAGCACCCAACATTATTGAGTTGGATGTTGAGGGGTAATCAGAGCGAGTGTCAATAGATGGAGCTCCTCTGTCTTCTTCTTTGAGCTTCATCCCTTTATCTGAAAAAGATTAGGCTAGTTAGCTTTCTCCTTGATTGACAGTTGAATTGACGGAGCATGTAGAAGTGGAGAACTTAGAAGAAAGCTTAGGCAGAGAAGAAGAGGTTGAGACGGAATCTACTATGGAGTGTGGGGTAGCCCTTTTTAAAGAGCAGAGCATCAGAATAAAAGCAGACCTTCGACCGAAGACTTTTGACCCTTCCTCCCTTTACTAATATGCACCAATTTTACGTGATTTTATCCACTTTTATTCTTGTGTTTTATGTTTTATTTTACTTTATTTTTCACGGCTTTATGCTTTTGGATGGTTCTTTGAGTTTTTTTTAGGTTATAGGTGTCAAATATGAAAAATAGACTCAAGACTACGCCGGTATCAGGCATACCATGCCTATATTAGGCTTGGCCACACCGTCAGATCGCCAAATCTATTTTTGGAAGGTTTTTTTATGTCAACTTTTCTTGGATTCTTAAAAGAGAAGCTAGGGCACGAATAGAAGAATTCTAGGGTGGAGAGGAGAGTTGGAGACTGCTGGAGAAGAAGTTTTTTAGAGTTTTCCATAGGTTTCCTCTTCCTCTCTTGGGTTTAAGATCCTAAGAGTTTCTTCTACCTTTCTCTTCATGTTGTTCTTATATGTTTTGAGAGGTTATTATATGAGAGGGGTTAGTTATCGCGGAAAACAGAACAAATTATTTTGTAAGTGTTTACGGTTCAGTTTTACTTGCAATAATGATTTTGTTGGGATGCTTTTCTGGTGTTATTTATATCATGTGTAGCTAAACTTTCTTTTGCAAGTCTATGATTTATTGGATGTGGTTTTATGATTTTTTCAGATGATTTCCTTCCCTGTATCGTTTTCTTAAGACATTGGAGCTTTTCATTGTTGTGTTAACCATGGAATTTCATTTTCTCCTGATCTGATCAATTGGGATATTAACATATTACATGATCCATGACTCCTACTTATTGTACAAAGGAATAAAATTGCTAACCACAAAATTTGTGTAACAATAGACATATTTTATCAAAATTTTGCAACTTAGAAAGGGGATCATTATAAATCTGTGGGATGCCATGGGAATTGAGGAAGCCTCAACTTCAGGATTTTTGCCTTCTTTTGATTTCGACATTGGCATAAGAAGGACTTTATATCCCTGCTGACAACAATCATGTTGGGGGAAGTTTAGGAAAATAAAAGATATCATATCAATAAAAATGAAAACAATCATGTATCATTTTCATAAGATATCAGGTTTTTTTTTTGTTAACCATGGAGTTTTATTTACTCCTTATCCGATCAATTAGGATGTCCACATATTTCATGATCTGTGACTCCTACCTGTTGCACAAAGAACCAAAATTGTTAACCACAAATATAGGTAAAAATAGGCATATTTTGTCTGAAAGGGGATCAGAAAAAATCCATGGGATGCCATGGGGATTGAGGAGCCTCAACTTCATGCATTTTAACCTTCTTTTGACCTAGACATAAGCATAATGAGGACTTTTTTATCTTTGTTGACAGTGATCACGTTCAGAAAAGTCCAAAAAAATACAAAAAAACCACATTACCTAAATTATAGGGGTGCGAGTCTCACATACCTTGAAGAACAGTAAGATTTATCTACCAATTTTTTCCGTCTTTACCAATAAGTTGTCTTTTGTTTTAGCTTTAAGTAAGATTTTAAGAAACCATCACTAATTTGTGATCATGCTAAAGTGGGTTTAGAAGTTTAGTAAACTAGATATTCACCTATCAGAATAGTTCTTTGCCCTTTCCTTGTGGGATCAATACGTGGTACTTTTTAATTGTGTTTCTGCTTGACATTTATGCTTGCATTGTGTAGCCAATTTACTTTGTGGTAATTTTTAGTGCGTCAAGTTTTTGGGGTTGTTGCCATAGAAAGGCATTAATAATTATTTCTGATTTTAGGAGAACTTTAGTTTAAAAACATAGAATCTTAGTTTGACATTGTTTTTATTTTTATCTTTTTTATTTTATTTTGTTCTTGATTTATTTATTTTAAAAAAATATAAAAAAAATGTTTTAAAACTTTGAAATGATAAATCCTTATGAAATTTATTTTTTATCTTTTGAGAAATGTAGCAACACATTGATTGCTAGACTTCACAATCTTTATCCCCCAAACATCGAAGCTAGGATTGATCACCCCTCTTCCAATACCTACACCCTCAACCGCACAACTTACCCAAACTCTAATTAAAACATTAATGACTTAGTGTAGGAAACCAACATTGGGGGTGGACTTAAGCCAACCATATAGAAAATTGGAGCAACTGGGGAAAGGACCACATTTGTCAAACCTAACCTTGGTAAATCACGTAAAAACCAAAATTTATGGAGGATAACCTATTATTTGCAGAATTGATAGTAAACTTGAGCAATGCATCCAGCACCTACACCCAAATTTGGTCAAAATACCCAATATTCAATTGGGACAATAATACCCTTATTATAGATAACCATTAATGGAAGAGCACCATGTCATCCTTGTAGGAAGGTGGAATAACTATGATAGACTGACCCAAGGAAAATATGTTGAGATTTTCATACCGATTTTATACTGTTTTTGATGATATTGTACTTTAAATAAAGGTATTTTTGATGTTTTGTTGTAGGAATGATGAATTAGGGTCATTGGAGCAAAAAGATGCAAAAAGGAGCAAATTTGGAGCAAAAAGGACCAAAATGTCGAAATTTGAACTAGGCTGCTGACGGCGCCCTCAACCCCGCCGA